GGGCTTGTAACTCCGTGGTTTTATGGACGGTGCTGCGTGTGCTTCCCTGTTCTGTGCCGGGGACATCACCACGACGGGGCTGGCCAGGTGCCTGGGACCTTCAAGGCCAGCAAGGAAGGGAGTAATCAGCCTGGAGCCCAGGAACCTTGAGGCTGGCAGGGAGGGGAAGAAGAAATCTGTTTGGTTTGTCTACTGGGACCTTCAGCACCTGATAATGAGGGAAGGAATATGTGACCTGCTCCATCGCGGAGCGTGGCTGCTTATCCTGCAGAATGCTGTTAGTTACACTAACCACATTCCTGGCGTGGGGAGCAGGGGGTACTGGTCACCCCCTCCTTCCTTTTTTTGCTACGGAATGTTATAAACTAATCTCATGGGGGGTTATTAAATAGGAAGAGCTGCCTGGATCAGCTGCTACTACAGCTGTTCTCTCCGAAATGTCAGATTAGCCTTTCCCCACAAAATTTAGCAGTAATCCCTTCATGACAAGTCCTGTCTCCCTCCCAGCAAATGTCTTTATTTTGGACAATGCTTATATTGTCAGAACATAAGCCAAACCCTTAAAGTGTAGGCTGGTGAATCACAAGGTGTCAGAATGCTTGAAAGGGCTGAAACCTTGTAGCTCCACTTGACACATCCATGGAAAGACTTTGGTTATTTTTTAAGCCATCTGTAATGAGAACGTGTCTCAAATCCCTCTTAGGCATTTGGTTTTTCAGATATTTATTGGACTTGTCTCGACTACAGAAAAGCAAAGGCATACACTCTGTCTCCCAGAGGTGCCTGGCACAAAAATAACTGGCTCAAAACCAATGAGCAAATTCCTGGAATTGTTTTAGTTATCCCTTTTGAGTTTCTAACAATACGCTCTACTGTTTACTTGTAGATTGAGGCAGAAGTGCAGAGAAGAAAACAGTTAACTCATCAGTCAGTGGAACGCAAAGCCATCATCTCAAAGTGCTACAGACGAAAACACCCTGAAGTGTACATTCTGCAGGTAGACGGAACGTTTGGAATCTATTTTGCACCCAAGGAATTGCCCGACAGTTTACTTTTGCAGTAGGAAGCCCTCGTCTTGGGATTGCCTGCAGTGCTAGAGCTGGACTCAGTTAAAACCAAAGTGTAGCCTATTAAAACAGAATGAAAAGCTTCCACAGCGTAGCATCTTGTCCAGGCGAGATTCTGCCTGGACAGTGAGGGTCATTCTGGGTTGAAGCACCAGCACCTGGTGTTGGACTCAGAATACCATTAGTAATTTAGATCTAAAGCACCACTGCAGCAAACGGGGTCGGTGAGGTCTAAGGAACAGGCACAGAAATCAGCCTTTATGGGCGTAACACACAGACAAGTTACGAGTGACTGTTGTCTGAAGCGGGGCAGCAGGCCGCTTGCAGGTATACCCCCCCTGCAAATGCAGGGGTAGCCCTCTTCGCTGGGGGCTTTGAATTTCCTCGTGTTTGCCAGACCCACGACTCCCCAGCTGGATAATTACCACAAATCAGCAGCAACACACCAACAATTTTGCACAGATTTGCTGCTCTGTGATCTTTTAGGAACAAGTTCTGCTGTTTTCTATGATGATCTGCGTGGGGAAGTGCTTAAAGCTGAGCACAGCCACGCTGTGGTGCTGAGGCCTCGACAAGATGCTAAATCTGCTAGGAAAGACTTTGCACGTAACTGTTAGGAGTCCACAATGCCAGCCAGGCTCTCTCCCATCACCCTAAGGCTAAATCTGGCCAGTCATACTCAGAAACCCATGAACTAGAGCAAGCAGCAACTTACCTAAACCACCAAGAAAACACTAGTAACATTCTGCATTTCCTGCCACAGAAGTAACCCAAGTGTGACTATCGGCCTTGCTCCCTAGACTCCACAGATTTCCCTGTAGCTGCCTGGAAGTCTGGTTCCCTCTCAGGCTGTAAAAGACTGCACAGACTAATTGTGTTTCTGTGTGTTTTTACCATCCTTCCCTTGGCGCCAGGATTCATTCCTGGCCCCAGATTTTCTAGAAATCGTGAGATACTGCACATCACCAGATGCTCATCTCCACGGCCTCCTGCGCTACATCGAGTCCTTCTCAGGTAAAGAAACCAACACATCAGCCACAAAGATCTCTCGGTGTGACACTGCAGCTTCAGCGGTGACAGCTGTTTTCAAGCCCTGTCTTTAATAGCTCAGATTTGATACGCAGCCGAGACAAACAGGATGTTATTTTCTGCTTGACGGGAGTCTCTGGAGAGGCAGTATTGTGCAGAAGTTATGCTCTGGGTGAGATCCTGTTTTCTGCTTTCCCAGGCTGTCTGCTGATGTCTCACCAGAGGCTCTAGCTGCAGCAGGGCTGGGGTTTTGGTCGTACCACAGCCTCACAGGAGAGCCTGCTGAAGGAACACTGTTAGCCCGGGGAGCTTGCTTTTCCCTTCCCAAGAGCTTTACCATTTCAGACAATCCCTGTTGGTTAGTCTGAGCTGAAATAGTTTCAGTCTCGATTTCAGTCTTTTAAAGAGATCTGGGTTTTCGGCTTCCCTGGTGCTATCCTTGAAGGTCTCCCCCTACCAGAAACGCTGACAGAATGTAGAGGGGGAGCTGCAAAGTTGCTTCCTTTGCTCAAGGCAAAAAGACAGCCGCAAACGTGGTGTATGTGCAGGGCTCCTGGATACGTCCAAGGCATGATCTCCAGACACACACGCGACCTTTCACACTGCCTTTATCTCAGCTTGTGTATCCTCCATACTGAGCTCCTCTTCCACAGACCGTTAGGGCTCTACCCTGAAAAGCTGCTCAGAAGGCCTGGTCTTCCCACGTTGGCCTCTAAATGACCTTGAGTCTCCTTCTTCCAGGAGGCTGTATTCCGACCGCCTGTATGAGCTGCTGACTGACCACTCTCCCTCTAGACCCAAAACATTTCCTTGGCACGTTCACCAGATCTCCCGACTGGATGGGGAAGCCTGGAAACGAGGGGCCAACATGAAAACCAACAAATACATCCCAGAGCTGATCCCAGGGAATGGTTCCAGCCCCTTGAGCAACCTGAGTACAACACGAAGCATGTGGGTGCTGCGCTCTCCGTGACGCCAGCACCGTGTACAGCTAGACGGCACGACGGCCAAGAACCCTCTCGCCTGTTATTTTTCCCCAGCAAACTCTGTCTCCCTTCTCTTGGCAGATAAGAGGATCTATCGACTCCCAGTGTTCACGGAGGAATTCTGCCAAGCCTTTGTGGATGAGCTGGAGAACTTTGAGCAGTCAGACATGCCCAAAGGCAGGCCCAACACCATGAATAACTATGGGGTAAGTCTCACTAGCTCTTGCGCTTCTTTAGGGATGGTGTTCACAAGCAGGCTCCATTTACCTCCTCACTTCACGCTCCTTTCTCTTCCGAAACGCCTGGAATTGGAGCACAGAGCAGTTTGAGTACAGTCCCTTTGAAGTGAAAGGGTTGAGGGGATGCGTGTTACACAGACAAGAAGACAGGGCAGTGCAAGGAAAGGGGGTGGGAGCTGGTATCTCAGAGCAAAGAGCACCTTGTATTTAAGCAATACACATTTAAATCAAGGAGTCCATTTTTAAAGAGCACAACTTTTGATCTTACTTGGTCTTTTCCCCATCATTTTCCACCTTGATCCTCCTCCTTTTGCCTGTAGCTGGAGCCTTTGCCCTAAAGTTCTTTACCTGAGCAAGCAGCAGGGTTGGAGGAGAACAAGACAGCTCTGCAGCAGCTCTGATGAAGCAGCAGATGCAGTTGGTCAGCTGTTCCCGTCTCCTCTCTTTGAGACAGGTTTTGCTGAACGAGCTTGGGATGGATGAAACTTTGATCACGCCCCTGCGTGAGAAGTACCTGCAGCCCATAACGGCGCTGCTTTACCCCGAAGTGGGAGGCGCTTCTCTGGACAGCCATAAAGCGTTCGTTGTCAAGTACTCGCTACACCAAGATCTGGATTTGAGCTCTCACTACGACAATGCAGAAATCACCTTAAACGTTTCGCTGGGAAAAGACTTCACAGAAGGCAACTTGTACTTCGGGGATTTCAGCCAGGTACCCAGCATATTCCTCATCTGCAACCTGATTCTTGTCCCTGCTGCCCCCTCAGCCCCTGGATTTCAAGGCATTAACCGTGTTCTAAAACACAGTTACTCACTTCTGACTGTCAAACCTGCTCTGTCCCTTCCCCCTTGGGTATACAGGAGCCGTTTCTGCTACAAGCGTGTTACCAATATTCAGCTAATTGCAGCCAATTCAAAGAGAGGACACACAGCTATCCTAGTAGCAACTGGAGTGAAAAACCAGCCCATCTTTCCCCAGCTGCAATAATGAGCAGGGAGGTGCTGAGAGAGAGAAAAAGAGAAGTAATTTATTTCAGATGAGCCTTAAACCTAAATCTGTAGCCCCTATTTCCAGCTGACTCTTGGCAGGAGAGGGGTAAAAGCACCCATACTTGAAACAGGTTTTTATTGATTTAAACTGTCTTTAAATTCCCTCTGGACCTGGCACTGAGAATCTCTTCCTTGGAAACAGTTGTAGTAAACTGCTGCCAAGCCACCGCTGAAGCGGCTGCGTTTCGGAGGTGCGGCGAGTCCCCTCCACGTTGCTTACTGGGTGCTGTGGGCGAAGCGGTGACAAGGAAAAGGTTCGACTGTTTGAGCACTGTTCTAGGGAATTTCTGGTGTAACGCTGCATCCTCCTCCCTTTGTTCCAGGATCCTACCCCCGTGCCAAAGTACATAGAGATCCAGCATGTGGGAACCCAGGGGCTGTTACACCGAGGAGGGCAGATCCACGGGGCACTTCCCATTGCATCCGGGGAACGCTGGAACCTCATTGTTTGGATGCGATCGTCTGCTGTCCGCAACCAGCTCTGCCCCATGTGCAACAAGAAGCCTGAGCTGGTGGAAGCAGAGGGGTTTGGAGACGGGTTCACAGAAACCCTTGAAGATGATGCGCCCGAGGCGGTGAATCTCTGCTCCTTGTGGTAGCAGAGTGGGGCCTGATTTCCGCAGGCCAGGTTGCCTGAAGCTCCTTTCTGACCTCTCAGACTGCACCAACTGATCCTTAGGATCAGAGGATGGTTCAGGTTGGAAAAGACCTTTAAGATCAAGTCCAGCTGTTAACCCAACACTGCCAAGTCCACCGTGTCCCTAAGCACTACATCCACATGGCTCTTGAATCCCTCCTGGGATAGTGACTCCACCACCTCCCTGGGCAGCCTGTTCCAATGCCTGACAGCCCTTCCCATGAAGAAGTTTTCCCTAATATCCAATCTAAACCTCTCCTGGTGCAACATGAGGCTGTTTCTTCTTGTCCTATCACTTGTGACCTGGGAGAAGAGGCTGACCCCACCACCTCACTACAACCTAAAGATACAACTGGGAGAACTGAAAGAGCCTTGGCGTGTCAGGGCTCACGCCGGGGAGCTGGAGGACTGCTTGTAAGACTCTGAAAGCCTCAACATTTCGATTCACTGCAGAGGCTCTAAATACTTTCAGGTGTACAGGGAAAACCCCCACAGCTGTGTGGCCTCTGTGCCAGCAGCAGCATCACAGGGCCCACTGTGAGCGGCCAAGAATGGTACAATAAATCCCTGCACTTACCCCTTCTCCGCTCTTTGCTGGGACTCTTGTCCTCTTCCAGGGGAACCACAGGAAGGGAAGGAGCTTCTTGTTGCTGGGTGACAGTAAGGGATCTGCTGAAAAGCGAGATACAGGTGATTCACAACAGGCTGCTGGGAATGGTGTGGAATTCTCGTCACTGTTTACCTAACCCAGGCTCAGAAAAATCTCTCGGGAGCAATACAGGGAGAGCTGATCCCCCAAGGTGGCCGAGAGGAGCTCTACAGGCCTCCATGAGCTCTTTTGAACAGAAATTTCCCTTTCAAAGATGGTGTGAATATTATTAAATGAGCAGAAACGGGCTTTAGAGGCAAAGCTCTGGGAGCTACCTGCAACACGGCCAAACTGCACAGAGGAAGCCAAGAGCGTGCACTTAACTCCCTCCTTTTAATTGCGTGAACAAGTGAAAACAGAAAATAGCCGCCTCAGCCTGGGGGCAGCAGGCCCTCCTAATGTGGCACCACGATGAAAGGCTGAGAGAGTTGGG